CTAGTTTGTATACACCTTTCATGTATTAGCACGCTATCACGTTTACTCCGCATGTCTCACAGTGACATTCCTTTAATGCATACAGGCTCACGCACACATATGTGACATATCCTTACATAGTCACTTCCATGCACTAGTGCTAACGTGTGCATTCTCCTGAGAGCACAAATGGATCCAGACACATTAACTCATTCTGCTGTTATACGACAGCACCCCATTGCTAGGATAAGAGGTGTAAGCCCTGTTCTCTCCATTTAAACGACTCCAGCGCTCTCGATGCCTGCGCGGCCTGCATTCCCAGACAGGCATAACCTGTAGACGCTAGAGCACGTAGCATTGCATTTTACTGGCCTGTTGTGTTATTGTGACAAAGATCAAAGGTTGAACTTGAAAAGTCCTCTGCAGAGAAAGCCTTGCCAAAGGTGGTATTACATTTATGTTGGCATGTTTTTACAGTGAACAGTCACGTCCTGCGTGAGTAAGTCAAACAATAAGTAGGTTTAACAAGCAATAAAAAGACACTTACAACTGATAAGGCATCTCTCTCAGTTTAATGAAGAACACAGCCAACCTTTGTGGTTGCCCTTTATTAGAGACACGAGAGCATTTGCCTGTAAGCCTTTAAAACGAATGGATAACGGGGATTTTAGCAGAATGTTGGAGAGTTCATGGAACTCCTCAAGAGTAGGTGCTGATGGATGCTCCAGGCACACTCAAGCCACTGTACATGTGGCTTTGTCATCAGTAGCTGAAGTACTTCTGCATAACACATGACACATGAACACATCTTCTTTTGTTAGTGCATTCTCGTGATATTATTCAGTAGTGTCTAAAACTCTGTTTATTCTCTCAGAGAAACAACACCAACCAACTTTCTGTGTTGTTAAAGGTCCTAACTAATCCACACAGGTTGAAGATGATTTATCATCTACAAAAGGATGAACCATTTCAACATAAACGCTAAAGTTTAAACTTTAAAAGATTTGCATGGTTGCACGTTACAGACGCATGTGTTTAAGGTTGAGACAGCTTTGTATTTGAGCATATTGTTGTTAGCTGAAGGTGTTATCGTCATGTATGCAGTTGCCCTTCTGTTAGTGTTAACTCTGTTAGCACATATAAAAAGAGCCTGGAAAAGTCCTGGGAGCGCGGCTGAAGTGTGATAGCTGCACCTACGCACAGCTGGTCCAGCTTTGACACACAGCATGCAGTCCTGGGGGTGGATAGATAGTCAGCCCCCCCGAAACCTCCAACCCTGCAGCAGCTCGGGGTCTGCTGTCTGCTTTGCATTTTGTGCAGCTCAGCGAACCCACACCCACCTGTCCACACCCCACAATCAAATTTAGGATATTCTTCTACATATGTTTTTTAGGGTGATATCACTGAGGGTCATTAGGAGCTGTCTCCAGGTCCAACATACTGTCACTTTCTTCTTTTTTTTTTCTTCAATATGTCATCGTGATGTCATTAGCTAGAGTAGCTCCCTTTCACCCAATTCTTTTACTAAATACATATCCGCACTTCAAAAACATATGTTTCTTCAATTACATTGCAGCTCGCCAATTCCACCCTCATGAGTCCACTACTCCTTGTGCCTTGTGTGTCCTTTAATCCAAGCAGTTTTGAGATCGTGGCTAAATCAAGACTGACTTAAGACAAAGACCAAAATGAAATTTAAAGACCGAGACCTTTAGTTAATGCCTGCACTAGAGTCGAGCTGATTTTTACCAAAAAAAAGTCAGAAAACTTGTGAAACAAAGACGACTTTGAAGCAGAAGTTCAGCTTCTACATTCTTTTTGATGTGGTTACCATTCACTGCCAACTTGAACTTAAGTGTCAGATCAGCAAGCTTCAACCTTACGCTCAGTCCCGCAGCCTGACTTTACTAGTATGGGCTCAAACTGGTCATAAATATTTTAGCGCGGTCAACTCGTTCACGCGTTAGCGCCGCCGTCCAGCCCCACGCACGGGGCGATCCACGCTCGCTGACGGAGATTTGCCTCGTTAATGCGGTTATGGCTTTAATGCCATTTTAACGAGATTAACGCTGACAGCACTAAAATATTTTGTACTTGTAAATCAAATGCGTAGTTGTGAGTTTGTGAGTAGTTTTGTAACCTTGTAAACCAAAATATCTGAAAATGTTATGTTTGTGCATCTTTAGATGAGAATTTGTTCGTAAGAATGTTTTTAAGGTCTGCTTACAGACACGAAGCGAAAAACGACGTGTAAAACTCTGCACTCGCGCACCGTGGCTGTGGGAGTTTCAACTTACCAGTACAAATTTTGACCCAATTTTTCTTCCTTTCAGCTGATTGGCCAATGTCATGTCAATCACAAATGTAACAATCCAGTCAGAGAGCAGATGGGTTTGGCTGTCAGTGATGCTATACTGAGCTTCAGGTCCTGGAAGGGGAAACGCCCTTTCACATGCCGGCGTTTTCCTTCATCAGCACGAAGGAAAACATTCTGTGCGCGTCCGAGTTTGGTGAATTGTTGTCGCAGGTTTACGTGCTCACACAGGGACCTCCAGAGCCTTTTCAGCGGCTCTGTGGACCTCGGGGGTGAAGCATTGTTGTGGAAATGACACACTCTTCACGAGTTGTGATAGTTACAAAGCTTTCTTCGTTATGAATGAGCGATACGTTTTTATTGAATGTTTGAAGATAATACAACAGAAACTCTTGTAGAGGACATAAAGTCAGAGAGATACATGCTTTGAAACGACATAATCAGGTGCATCTAGTACACGACAGAGCACAGCGGCCAGCGCAACAAGTTTTGGATCCTTAGCTCTTAGTTAGCGGTGAGCGCGTCTGTTGCAAAAGGGCCTCTATGCTGCACAGTGTGACTCACAGCAGTGGTCCCGGGTCAGCCCTGACTGTGTGTTACAGTAATAATGGTATTTCAACTTTATCCTTTCAACAGCTACCGAAGGTTAAGGGACCTAGCTTGTATGACCCCTATGGCAGCGGTCCCCAACCCCTGGGCCTCGGACCAGTACCGGTCCGTGAGTCGTTTGGTACCGGGCCGCGAGAGTTGAGGCTCAGGTGTGAAATGTGTAGTTCTCAGGGTTTTTGTCGGTTTTCAGTGTTATTTTGTTATCGTTTACTCGGTTTTCCTGGGTCTTTTCACGTGTGTTATGAATAAATCTTCTTTTTTTCGGTACCGGTACTAGTTTTATTTTGCTGTATTTATCCGCGACACCCTAAAGGCCGGTCCGTGAAAATATTGTCGGGCATAAACCGGTCCGTGGCGCAAAAAAGGTTGGGGACCACTGCCCTATGGGATATTCCTATAGAGGTCCTCCAGCTTCAAACTGTATTACCTGGAAATACAGTTTGAAGCTGGAGGACCTGAAGCTCAGTAAAGCACCCCACCGACAGCCAAACCCATCTGTTCTCTGATTGGATTATTAAATTTGTGATTGACCAATCAGCTGAAAGCAAGAAAAATTCGTACTCGTAAGTTGAAACTCACACAGCATAAATGTATCTGTGAGCAGACCTTAACAAAAACAATTTGTAACAAAGTCTCAACATTTTCTGATATTTTGGGTTACAAGGTTACAAAATCCAGTTCACAACTATGCATTTGATTTACAAGTACAAAATATTTATGACCACAATTTGAGCCCATGTACTAGTCATGGATATTTACTTTGAGAGGAACAATTAAAGAATAAGTAGGTCTGTATGAAGCTCTAGTGTGAGCTGATCCATGAGCAGATTGGAGTGCGATAGCCTGATGTCCTAGTCTCATGTCCTGAGTGTGAGCACGCACACACACGGAGGCTGTCGGAGACGAGCTGCTCAGCTGTCAGCTCGGCCACATGTGGCAGATGAGGCGCTCAGCAATCTCAGTGACAGGCACAAGATGTCCCGGACTGCCAGGGGCGTGCACACTGACACTGACGTGCATGCACACGCCCTGCGTAAAATGTAGCTCAAACAGATGCGAATCATGCCTAGTGGTCAAATATATGTTTTTAGGGATGAACAGGTTGCTGCAGAGGACAAGGCGAAAGCAAGCGAGCGATCTCTTGACATTTTAACTAATCCCTTCTAGCTTGTGGTTTCTTGCACATTTGTAAGATTTGCTAGCAGCCAGAATTGGCTTTTTCACATATGCAACCTGTCATGTCAGATTGGACGATGACATGGGACAGACCAGGGATGTGATGGCTGGAACACTGAAACGGACTGTGATTGGATTTAGATGACACCACCGGCTCGAGGCTACCGGCCTTTCTCGGGCTCTAGAAGTAGATTCTTTAACTGCTTTGGTGTCTCACATGTTGGCAAACCTCTCGCCGTGAACCCGGCAGCGTTTTCAGGACTTCCTGCGATACGGCCACACGGACGTCCCTCCTACTGAAAACCTCTGTTATTGTTTTAAATCTCTTGATAAGCGTTGGCTTGCAGTCTTCAACCTATTAAAACTTTTAAAACGGTTTTAGTGTGTTCCAAGGTAGCGGCAGGTGTTGCATGCATGTTTGCATGCTCGTTGGGTAAGGTGTGATTAGTCACAAACCAAGTTTAGGGTGACATTTAGGATTTCCTGTGACTCTGCTTGTTTGTTTACGCACACAAGCCCAGGAAGGCCACAGTGGCATTGCGTGATTGGCGTGAGGGAACAGCCCGTACCTGTCATGGCCCTGTGTTTGGTGGCTCTGGGCAAACACACGGTACCTGTCAAAAGCAGTTAGAGCCCCGTTCAGCAGCCTGCCCTGCATGGCATCCCGTCAGACGCCAGCTGAACTTTTCACTTGTCAATTCTGAAAGGTTAGCGCTAAAATCAGCAGCGACAGATGCAAATGGATGGATGCTTTCCTGGCATTTTTGCGCAGGGATGCTTCATGTCGCTTCCACCACCTTGTCTGCCCCCTCCTACCTCCGCTCTACTCTGTCACGGCCTCTCGTTAGCCCCTCTGTTACCCTTTCAGAATACATCTGTCTGTGCAGACGGGCAATACCTCACCACTTCAGGCTTCAGGCTTACTCATATTTCAGTTGATGTTCTCCTTCATAGTCTGTTTTAATTCAATTTGTTCTTAATTATTAACTGTGCATGAATCCTTGTTACCAAAGGTGTTGCCATACAGTTATATGGTTTATAGGGTATTATGTTAGCTGGTCTTCTTATAGATGGGCTAAGGCTATAGTCAAATCAGAAACCCTTTCGTGACCAAGCTGTGATTTATTTAGTTAGTTTTGTAAAGAAATGATCATTTCAGATATCCAATAAAAACAAAAATCGAGACATTTTCAGTTTTCAGCTCCTCCACACACTTTGTACTCTGGGTCTGAAGAAACCAGCTGTTTGTAGCTTGTTGTTTTTATTTGTTACCATTCTTTATATTTTTGGATGTTTTAAAAACTGAATCAGTAAAATCAAAAAAATCAAAACAAAGAGCAACAATAACCAAAATTTGATGCAAATTGCTGACATCATGGATCATAGACCTCTAACTCCATGCTTTGCTGGTTGCATCTCAGTCTTTCCTTGCTGAGCGTCCCGGGACAAACACCTGCCACACCACCGGCGACTTTGAACCCATCTGAAAGACGACCCGTCTTCACTCGTTTTCAGTTTAGTTTGAGGAGCCCTCTGATTTTTTACTCAAAATAATTTTATTGAGTTATTACGAATACAGTTTAGGAAAAGAAAAGAAAAAAGGGAAACACAAAAACTGGTTACATTGAATAGAAAAAAGAGCTTCTCATGTTAGAACATAAGTAAAGGAAAAGAAAACAAACAAAAACAAACTAACACCCTTTCCTTATAAACCCACAGAAGTTAGCTGCAGCACCACTGAGCTTCACATCCCCATTAACAAGCCCTCGATGCACCCGTATGAGTCATTTTGATTCATTAACTCGAGCTGCGCTGACTTCTTGTCCCCGACTCTTACCTCAGTCTGATTTTGGTGAACTCTTGAGCCCTGGGCTGGCCGGGAATTGAACCCGACACTCACTGCCTAAAGGCATGTGACTATCATGTTGCCCTGATGTTTTGCTTTCACTGCTTCTTGTGTTTTTCATTTTAACCTCGATTTTTATACCTGTTGTTTGTAAATATTCTCCATTAACACAAGTGATTACAGACATTTGTTCTGTTTGTGTTTCAGGTGGAGCTGAAGATGAAGTACAATGACCTGCACTCTAAGTCGAGAGGTCTTCTCCCAGGCAGTCGCTGGTATGAGATTCAGGCCTACAGAGCCCTGAACCAGGCCCTGGGGAGGTAAACCTCTGCAACTGCTTCAGATTTAAAACTCAGCCTTTTGCACTTTTAAATGAAAACTCCAAACTTGATTTTCCAGGTGCATTCGCCACAGGAATGACTGGGGAGCTCTAATTCTGGTGGACGATCGGTACAGGAATAATAAGTACATCACAGGTACTCTGCACTGTTCATCCGCCCAGTTTCACCACTAGATGGCACTGGTTATCCACTGCAAGATGTTTGCTAGCTCTCGTCTCTGTTGTGTGTCTGTAATCTCAGGTCTGTCTAAATGGGTCCGCCAGCTCGTCCAGCATCACAGCACCTTCAGCGATGCAATGCAGTCTTTGGTTGCATTCTCTCAGGTGCAGAAGAAGATGGATGGGGCTCCTGCTGACAGGCAGGCCATCAGCTCCACCGTCTCGTCTCCCAGCAGCCACCTCGCAGCCGCTGCAGAGGGACATAGTCTGCCTGAGGCTTCAGAACCTCAGATACCTATCTCGAGTGTCAGACTACTTGAACCCCAGCAGGACTCAAGCCCCTCAGCCGACCTCATTTTTTCCCATACGCAGTTGAAAGCTGCACAGAAAGAAAAAGCAGGTGAGATTGATGGATCTGTTGAGAGACGAATGTTCGGGAAGATCAATATCTCTTTAAAGTCTTATTGAAGGACCTAAAAAATACAGCAGGTATAGATCAGGTTCATCAAAGCTGGGCTCTCTCTGTGAAGGCCTGTCCAATAATACTGCCTTGAATGGTACCGAGAGGTTTAAATGAGCAGTAACGATGAAGTAGCAATGGAGGCACCCATAGTGTTTCCACCCTTGTGCATATCATCCTCTTCTTTCTTCTTCTGCACTCGGGAAAATGTTTGAAACAGTCCTGATTTTTTTTTATTTGTTTCTTTTTGTCTGTGCCCCAATACTTTGCCACCAGTGACATGAAGATGTATTCCAGCTCAGGACTTATTTTTCATTAAACACGTCAAAGGCCACAAATTCAACTAACCTTCAAAGAGTCACAAAAGTTATTATGTGGATTTTTAAAAGCGATCTGCTAGTTGAAATCAGTGGCAAAGCTTTAAGTTATCAAACCTGACTGTGGTGTGCTGCATTGTGTAAAAGCATACTAAAGTAAGAAACTCGTGCCAATCAAATTTATGTTGCTTTAATGCGTTTCTTTTACCGGCACTTACGGCGCCTTTAAAAAGATCAATGAAGTAGCCGTGATGTCCGTGGACTCCCAAACCACCCCAGAGCCCCAAAATTGCTGTTGTCCAGAATCTTTTTTGCGTGTCAGTGGACTCTCATGCATATGTAGAAAAAAACACGGAGAAGGGGCTTCGTTCCCGAACCGTGGCTATAGAGCTCCACTGAGACAGAGTGGGTTAGTTTCACAGTTTCAGTCTTTCGCATCTGTGTGCAACAATCTTGGCTGACCTGGTAGTCAGGTTGTTGCATATCACACAGACTCCCTGATTTGAATTCCAGTTGGCTGAATGTCCTCACTCTCTCTTCTTGTGTCTCAAATGTGTAAATAAAGGTCAGAAAATAGAGACACTTCTACGGCTTTCAGACGTCTTTTTCCTTCAGCAGAAGGTAATGTTAGATCTGCACGGTGTGAGGCCGAGTCCAACTTAACTTTTCATGAATCATGACCTTTTATGCACAGACACTTTTGAAAGACGGGGATCAAAAGGTGCATATCGTTTTTGTCAAGGGTATGCCGGAGCATGACATCATGCGGAGGAAATACGCCGAGGTGACGTGTTTGCACATCGCCTTGGCGACGCCCATTGTCTTTGGGGTCATGACGAGGTTGAGCTGTTAGTCTGTTTGAGTTCAG